CGTACACCAATATTATTCCCTTATCTATACACCACTAATCGATAAATTGGTAATATCGTTATTTAATAACTAACTATACCTTGTATAAATTACAAATCGATCAAATATATACGACCACTGAAATGTTGGTGTTTAAAACAATTTACCTATAGGTATATCCTCATCGTATAGGCGAATTATATTTATTTGAAGGTTTAAATTCAATAAATGTAGGTAATAATTAATTTACTTGATTACAAATAAGTATCTATGTATTTAATAATAGTAATGGAATATTTCGTCTCAAGGACTAAGATGCTTTTTAATTACGCTTATAAAGTCATAAAAGTCTATCTCAAACAATGACTAATTGACGTTTCAGTCAAATAATTGTATTTTACCTGTGATATAAACTTGTAATTTATATTTTTATTAGAATATAATGTTTGAGCTATTATTAAATTATTAACGGACTTGAGTAAGTTTTAAGTATTGACCGTCTGCCATTCGTTGTAATGTTATTAATTAATACTTAGTTTGATTATTACTTGTATAGTAATCTAATATTATAATATCGTGGTGTAATTGTGGAAGAAGAGGAAATTTAAAAGTCACATCTTCCCTCTTATAACTTTATTCGTACTTAATTATTTTTATGATATCGTATTTTCTTCAATATGCATGAACTTAATTTTGAAAAATCATACAGAATTAAATAATAGCCAATGGGTATTTCAAATGTTATTCGTTCATTATTTTATTATTTTGAGTTTGAATTAAATTAGGGTGACCATACGTCCTGTTTTTTACAGTATTGTCCTTTATTTCTTTATTTCAGTATTGTGTCCTGTTGTCCTAATAAACTTTTTTCTGGACACTTTTTGTCCTGTTTTTTTGATCAAACGAAATTAATTTGAAAACAAAACTTACTAAAGTAATGAATAATGATTATAATTATTATCTTGTGATTGTTTGAATTTATCAGTATGGGCAGAATATCTACGAATTATCAGAGCTTATCTGAGTTATCGGATTGACCGTTATGGAAAAATGGGGATATCACTTTGAATTACTAAAAGTTTTTCGTTGGATTCAAGTACTAGATTTTCCAATTTGAATTGACATTCAAGAAAGTTGGTAATATATTATTTAGAATAATCCAACATTGAAATTCGATGAAGTTGAACTTTTTGATGAATATAATTATGTGATAAATGTTATGAAGGTTAATTTTCAAAACAGGAAAAATGGTTCAAAAGCCGAAGATAGGTGGTGTGAAATACATAAAAGTCTAGAAAAAAATGACATTCCAATTAAATATTTTACGGTTATTTTAGAGCATTCGATGGCTATTCCCGGAACTAACGCGTCGGTAGAAAGAGTATTTTAAATTACAAATATTTTATGGACAGATAGAAAAATCGATTTCTTGTGGACACAATTAGATCGATAATAATCGTAGAACAACATTTTAAAAATGTTTCATGTACAGAATTTCATATATTTCTTTTAGAACATCCACAATTATTAAAACTAATTACTTCTTCAGAAAAATATGAAAAATCAAATAGTGAAAACATGTCTAAACAATCGGTATCAAAATGAATTAATAAGTTTTTTAAAAAAGTAAAGTACATGCATTTAATACTATATAGTGTAATTAAAAATTATTTTTTTTCGCAATTAAAAAGCAATATATATATGTGCCTGTATTTTTTTTTTACATATGGTCACCCTAAATTAAATGGTAAATATCAAACCTCTACGCAACAAATACTATTGATAAACGACTTACGAATAGACAAATGAAATTAATAAACATAAATTATATAATTATATAACATCAATAGAGAAATTAAGATTAAATGTAAAATATTATTACAAGATATACAAAAAATAAGAAAAAGAATAGTAAGTTGAAGTTTAAAATCTTGCATTTTACATTTCACCTGTCGACTAATATGTAGTAAAATTGTAATTGTTACAAATATATTTATTTTCCTAATCCCCAATTACGCTATTGCAGTAATCTTATTATATAAATCATAGGCGTGCGCAGACTTTATTCGCAGGTTATGCAATAAGAAATATAGGGCCCCTCACAAATAAATTTTCTAATCTGCCCTTAATTTATTTGCATTTTCTTTTAACGCATATAAGATTCAAGTCACAATCTAAGTTTTTGCATATATACTACGTAGCTTCTTTACTTCCCTTAGAATCTAAAATCACACATAGTTTTACAGTAGAATATTAAAAAATGCACTGTAGAAATAAGTAGTTTGAAATTTGATTTATATTTATTAAAAAAAAATTTATTATTTATTTAAGATCAAGTATGTACTATATTGAATGCTTTTGAATAATTTTAACATATTTATAATGTTGTTATTTTATGGAGAGTACTTAAAATCTAAAGTTCAAGTCTTCTTTTTATCGGCACACATGCTTTGAATTCATCTATTACATCTTCAATATTGATTTCTGATGCCATCTTTTGTTCGATAAATATTAACATCAGTGAATCAAGATGTTCTTGTAACATAGTGTTTCTAAGTTTAGACTTCACAATAGACAATTTGGAAAAGTCCCTCTCACACGAGCAGCTTGTCACAGGTATTGTTGCAAATTGTGTTAAAGCTTTATTGAAGTTTGAAAATATTGTTTTCCGGTTGTTTTTTTAATAACCAATTCAGCCATACTACAATTGTTTTAGTTGATGACCCTCTAATAGAAGTTCTATCAGACATATTTGTAATGAGCTTAATTTCAGACTCAAATGTAGTATTCAAATTAAATTTTTCCTTCAACATTGAAATAGCATTACTATCAAGCTTTAATTGATTTAAATTTCCTGTGGCGGTAATTAAATTTAATGTTTCTTAACTTAATAATAAATATGGACCCCTCGCATGAAGCCGCAGACTATGCAGCGGCATACCCTGCATACCCCGTGCGCACGCCTATGATATAAATACATTATATTTCCAATACTGTCAAAAAAATCTATTTTAGTTAAAATTAATAGGTATTAATGAACAAATGATTTATTTAAAATATTTGAAAATAGATTTTATACCAATTTCTGAGATAAGGTATTTTTAAATATAAAAATTATTTACTAACAATATTGTATGTATTGTATAATTTATTTATAGCATTCATGTTCATTATTTATTGTAATAAATCATGTATTATTTCAAATTCATCATATTCAATTAATAGAGTAACAAATTATATGTAATTATTAATAGTGAGATTAAAAAACTGTCTTCGTGATATTTTTAATGTCTTTAATGTCACCGTAACGGTGCGTCCTAGGTGAACGCGATTTTGCGAGCGGGTGAGCGGGCGGGCGACGCGATAAAATTCAAAATAGATTTAATTTATGGAATGTCCTATCTAGAAGTTAAACAAGCGGGCGGGCAGGCGATTAAAATATTATCGCTCGCGTCAAAACAAATATTTTTGTTTCTGACGCGGGCGACTAGTACTATTTTTGAATACTTCAATTAATTTATTTGTGTATTTTAATTAATAAAACTACAAATCGTCCGCCCGCAGTCAGGACACTCGCTCGCGCGCGTTGAATATCGCGTCGCCCGTTCGCTTGGCCGCTCGCAAAATCGCGTTCACCTAGGACGTTAACTACCTACTAAAAACTTATTTATTTACTTTTTGAATACTAAAATACTGCTGTTAAACTCACAAACCATATAAATTTAAATTAATTTCATCATTGGCCAATGAGAATAATATATTTTTTACCTTAATGAGAGAATAATGATTTATATTTAAGGGTATAAAATATAACCTATAGTAAAAATATGAAAAATTACTTCATCTTTTGGCGATAGCTTCCCTATTTTTAAATCATTCATCAACTTGAATGCTTCATCCGAGTGTCCTATGCTATCGAAACATTCTGTTGCATCTGTCCCAGCTGCTTCAATGAGAACTTCTTCGCCACCTGGATGCTAGAATCGTATATAATAATTGTTTAAACCATTATTTTCATAGTTAAATTTTATTTGTATTAAATATACTTCAGATATTTTCAAATATTCAATTTAACTAATGAGGAGTCCATAGGCGCCGCAGACCTGTATTCAAAGGGGTTGCTACGATGCTTTTGGGCCTTAACAAAACGAGTAGGTATATTTAATAAATTATAATATATTAATAATATTTTTACCAAATATTTTAGAATAAATTACATTTATTTCGATCAATATCAGTTAAAATATAGGTCCTTATCCTTAAATTTAAGTTATAGGGTCCCATTTACAATATTTTGGGGTGTATCCAGATACACCAGGATCCCCTGAGCACGCCTATGGAGGAATATCATCTAATATATACAATATTCTCGTATGTATCACTATCAGGGCTTAGAACCGAAATTAAAAATATCGGTATTTTAACCGAAACCTTTTGAAAATATTGGAACTGGAACCTTACCGGAACCGTTTTTTGATTTTTATAGGAAGCGAAACGGGAACCGGAACCGATATTTTTCTGAAGATAATTTTTCGGTTTTTTTCGATTCCAGTTTTATTTCTATTTTATATATTGCCGGGTTTAAACGATGCGTAGCACTTATCATTAGTACTTGTCACTCACACTTACACATTGCGTGTAAACAGAAAAAATAGTGCTTAGAATTAGTAAAACCGGGATGCGAGTGAATAGAACGCCGTTCTATTTACTAACGACAAGTAGCTACCCCCTCCACGACTCTACTCTACTCGCGGTTGCACTGAAAACGTGTAACCACTTAATGATTAGTATTAGTGCTTAGTAATATTTGTGTTGTCACGTGTACGACGCATGATGCACACTGTGAATTGTGATAATTCTTAATTCAACTTCTAGTTCATCTATGATTGTCGTTACTTGAAATATATGATTCAATAATAAATGTATAACATCGTTTGTGTTTCGTGTGATATTTTAACATAAAATATTTATTTATTATTTATTTTTATTTATTAATTAATAAGTATAGGTATGTAAGAAATTCAATTTATTACCAGTGAACGTGGTCGTTCATTAATTTTGTATAAAATGTATAAATATTATTTTGAACGTACATTGATTCAAACTGGAGAAAAGAAGTGGCGTTGTTGTGTTAAGAAATGTCCAGCTTTTATAAAAATTTTAGAACCACCAATATCATCAAGTAATGAATGTCATAAGCACGAATCTTGCAGTGAACAAATGATGCAGCGTCAACAGCTGTCTGCATCGGTAAAAAGAAAAGCATCTGATAATCCTCACGATAAACCAAGTTAAGTTTTAATTCAATGTTTAAATGACCAGTTAACTAGTAAATTAGAAATTACTGACTTAAAATATGTTAAAATAAACGCATACAATGCACGCCGTAATATTTTACCTCCTTTATCAACAAATAGGAACTCTATCCACCAAGCTATTGAACAACTTAATATAAAAACAATCCAAGACGAAAATTTTGTATTAATAAATAATATACTAGATAATTTAATAATTTTTTCATGTAAATCAAATTTAGGAGCTTTTTGTCAAGCCGAAATTGTTTATCTTGATGGAACATTTGATTTCTGTGCTAAATTTTTTTTACCAATTCTTAACTTTCCATGATTATTTAAATGGTCATTATGTTCCTTTAATATTTTGTTTATTGAAAGATAAAAATGAATCAACTTATAAACAATATTTTCAAACAATAAATGAACTATGTAACGAAATTGGTAGTGAGTTCAAACCAAATAAAACTGTAACTGATTTTGAGAAAGGATTAAGAAATGCTTGCATGTTACAATGGCCCGGAATTAAATTAAATAGTTGTCGTTTTCATTTATCGCAGGCATGGTGGCGTGCAATTCAAAGATTTGGGCTCACGACGGAATACAAAAATGACGAATCAGAAATTAGTAAATGGCTAAAACACTGTTTTGGATTGATATTTTTAAACCCAGAAGATGTTGAAAAATGTTTTAGTTTTGACTTGTACAACACTAAACCAAACGATGACCGTTGGATGCATTTTATGATTATTTAAAAAATACATTTATTGGTGAAGGAGCAATTTTTTCACCTACAGTCTGGGCAGAAGCATCTTCCGAATTAACAAAATCCACAAATGCTTGTGAATCATTCCATGCTCATTTTAAATCAAATTTTAACCATAGCCATCCAAATATTTTTATGTTTATTGATACACTAAAAAATATTCAATCAGAAATTCACATGAAATTACAAAGCATACACAAACCAAATAGTTGCAATAATTGTAAGTTAAAAAGACGTAAACAATTATTAAACCAGCTAATAGAAAATTATAAAGAACAAAAAATTACTATATTTCATTATATAAAAACCGTTTCATATTATTACTCCATCAAAAAATAATCAACATAATAAAATCAACTTTAATAATTTTAATAGTATAACGATAAAAATGAATTTTTCTAATAATAAAATATGAATAAAGAAATATATATATGTAGTTAGAAATACAAATATTTTTGGAGGATAACTAGAACCACCTCCACGTGGTGTTCTCTGGGTTACGCTAAATGGTTCTAATTTTTTTAGAGGAGTTTACGTTAGTGTAATACTGTAGCAAATTTTTTTTAGGGGAGTTTACTATTAGGGCAATTTACTATTTAATTTTTTAGGGGAATTTACATTTGCCTTATAGAATTATTCGATAATTGTTATTAGGAGCGTATTTATGGGGGTGATATGGGTGTTAGAACAACCCCATAGACCTTATTTTATGGTATTTCACCAAATTGTAAACTTACATTGATTATTTGAATAAACGTTGTATACAACTTGTAGATTTTACATATGCTGTCTTAATGTAATCATTTTCATTTATATAAATACATGGTATTTTATTACATGGTAATTCGATTTTGTCATATGTTAGTAAAAATACTCCATACAACACGAGTCAACGCTATTTTTTAAAATTTGTTTTGGATTTTTTTAAAACAAAATATTAAACTTATTAGGTAAGCCCTTTAACCTAATAAGACTGCTATAGTTTGATTTTATAATTTTAGATAATATGTATGATGTTTATAATAGATTTTTTATGATTTTTGAAAAAAAATAACCCTTTAAATACCGGTATTAACCAATATCAGAACTAGAACCTTAATTATATAATTTTTAAGAATTAGAACCGAAACCGTTACCGATTTTTTTTTTTTTTTTTTGAAGAACCTAATTGGAACCGAAACCGAAAAAATCATAAAGGTTCCAAGCCTATACATATTTTGATGACGTTAGAAAATCCTATACCCAAATGGCACATTGCAATGTTCTCATATTCATATAATGTCATATAACTAAAATTTTGTGAAAATGTCCTTAAAATACTAAGTCAAAATATTTGTATAAATATTATAAATAAATATAGGCTATAAATCAGGCCTAAATAGATTTGCCTCCAAACATAATAGTTTATGAAAAATGAAAAATTATAGGGGATTTTAAGTTTTGAAAATTAAATTTTCTGATTTTGATTATTATTACCTAAACATCTTTACATGACCTTTAAAAGGGTTCAAAAATTAATTCAGTTATCATTTTATGTATTTAAGGTAATTTTACAATTTTTTTGGTTATTTTCTAAACAATCAAATATACAAGTTAATTGATTTACATAATTTTACATCTAGAAATTAAAGTGTTGTTATAATTTTAATATTTCCAATTAATAACACTTACCACTGTAATGAAATTAGTTACATCATATACGTTTCCATGAATACTGATCCAAGCATCGCAATCTTTTTTATGTTTAGAAACTGTTGTAGGAGAGTAACAATGAATTGACATATTTTGCAGTTTTAATTAAAATTATGAACTATAGCGTTAACACATAAATAAAGTTAAATACTTCAACACAAAGGCTGTATCAATACGTTCTATAGCTAAAACATTATTTTAATAATGAACAACCGTCGAATTTTCTATACGTGGTACTATTAATAACTAACAATTGCGTTGCCACATTGAATCATTTGAATACAATGTATAATGAAATATATGTAATATGTATAATGTATATTGTAGGAAGTGTCAATCGCCATACAGTATACATATACATAGTATTATGTACATATTATATATATATTACATAGTACTATGTAATATTATTATGAAAAAATGACGTAATACTAGGTAAATGCTCTGGTAATTAATATCAGGTTGTTACTCGATGTAATATTTAAATTGCTATAAATGACTGCTGAGTTGGATTATTAAGAGTAGACTATATAACTTTAAAAATAAGTCACATAAAACTTATTAATCTATGTAATATGAGAATTTAGTTAATAATTCATCAATAATATTACTATCGGGAAAAAATCAATAAAAAATTTAAAAAGTTCTTTTAATCAAAGGCTATAGAGTACATAATTACATAAGTACATTATTAATTATTAAATGCAATTGAAAAAATGGCATAACTCCTTATTCAAATAATACTCCATGATCGGATAAGATATATGGATGGACAGTGGTGGATTTAGAAATTTTTTGCCCTTATGCAAAATTTAATTTTCGCTCCTATCCAGAAGAAAATAACTTCTACATAATTAAATATTACATTATAAAATATACATTTTTTCTCGATATCTAATATCCAATTATTTTTCCATTTCTGTTAATTAAAAAAAAAAAAACTGATTCAAATGTATAATAATCTGTTAGTTTTTATTGAGTAAAAATGTATATGAGAAAAACATTTAATTAATACAAAAATGTTTATAAATGATTGTAATGATTTTAATATTTACATAGGTTTTTTTAGTTTTCATTCTGGAAAAGTCATTAATAATGTTTTAATTTTTTTGTCAGTGATTAATGTTATCACTTATCATTATAACTTTAACGCATGTTTAGTTGTTAATTTAAAAATAATAATGGTTAAGATCTGCACTAATTAATAAACAATATTAGCTGTATTAATAATTTGATACATTCTCGTTCAAAATTAATAAGCAAGGTATTTTTGGCTAGTAAAGCGTCTTCTACCAAGAAACTAGTAAGCCCCATTGTTTGTAAGTTTTAGATCAGGGGTGGCAAACCCAAATTATCTTGCGGGTTACTTTGGAAATACATTACGATCCCGCGGGCCACATATAAAATTATATAAGTAGTTTGCCCTCATACAAAAAAAATTGGAGTAAACATTTTAAACAGGATTAATTATTATTATCAAATAAGTTTTGGTGCATTAATTATTTGAAATAAACAGAATGAATTAGGTAGGGTTACCCATACGTCCCGATTTGGCAGGGATAGTACCGGTTTTGAGTATGGCGTCCCGGTGTCCCGATAATGTAATAAAATACTTTTTATACAAATAAATTCATTACACTTCAATCTTGTTGACAAAAGAGAAAAGCGAATACGATTGTAAATGCGTCGCCTGAGGTCGAATGTATGTAAATTACGGAAGTGAAAAATATCTTGTTACGACGAAAAAACATACCGTTGGCGGACCGTTCGAACCGGTTATAGATGTTAAATTAAATTTATCTTTTCTCCAATTACCTGGAATTGTCATACCTCCTTCCAAATCTTCTTGATCAAAACTACCCAATGGTGTATAGTTTGATCTAGATGTACTATTTTTTCTCAAAAAGTTGTACAAATGTGTGCATGCTAAAGTTATTAGTTTTGCTTTTTCTGGTTCTAAAAGTAAAGGTTTTCGAAACACTCTAAATACTGCTGATATGATACCAAATGAATTTTCAACTACTCTTCGAGCCCTACTTAATCGGTAGTTCAATATCCTTTTTTTTGAACTTTTACCTAGCGTACCAGGATACGGTTTCATAATATTTTCTTTCAAAGGAAAAGCATCATCAACAATAATAACATATGGTACTAACTTATTTCTTCCAGGAAAGTTCATTACATTAGGTAAATTTAATTTTTGTTCTTCTAAAAGTTTTTTGATTGTAGTATTGGCGAACACGCCACCATCAGATATTCGACCCTGGCATCCAACTTATACGTATGTAAAATTGTAATGAGCATCGACAACAGCAAAAAATACAATACTAAAAAAACCTTTATAATTAATAAATTCACTCCCAGTATTTATTGGCGCTTGTAACATAATGTGCTTGCCGTCCATTGAGCCGAGACAAAAAGGGCAATTCCATTTCTGGTTGAAATCATGGGCAATGAGCTGTCATTCTTCCTTTGTCATTGGCATCTTAAAAATAATATTTTTACAATATTTCACTATTTTATATTAAATCATAATTGAATAAATATTTTCATACTCATTATTTGGCGTAATATTAAAATATTTTCAAAATGAAAATTACATGAAATAGATTAAACAAATAAATTAAAATATTTAAAATGTTATCCTCATATTTAACATATATTTTATTTCCGAAGTTTTTCGCCACTATTATATGATTGCACACATTTAATATATACATTTACCAATTTATTTTTTACAACTTAAATAAATACTATTTACAAAAAACATAATTAAATTTAAATTTTAAAAATGTATAGTTATTTATAATTTTTATTAACAGGTCATAAATGAAAGCTCTACCGAAGAATGTAGAGCAATGGAAACGAACATCGATAAAAATTTTTGAAAATCAAGAGCAAGAATATTCTAGTGATACAACTTCAATTTCTGGCGAAATATTCACACCGCCAAAGGTAACAATAAGAAAAAAAATTATAAAAAGAAAAAAAATGAAATGGCCGAAGAAGCATATGAAGTTATGAGTTCAATGGTCAAAAGTCAAGAAAATGGAGATGAATATAATGTTTTTGGGGAAATTGTCGCTTGTAAAATAAGAAAATTACCAATAGACTACTCTAAAAGCACAGTACAACATCTGATCAACAATATTTTGTATGATGCAGAGTTAGGAATGTATAACAATCCTCCTCAGCAATATAACTTTAATATGCTTTATTCACAATCATTGCAAACATTCAACTATAATCATCCTCAATGTGTGCCACTTAAAAATATATATAAAAACAGTGAATGCACATCTTCAGCAAGTTCAAGCTTAAGCTATAATGCTCCGACGCCTACAATGAGCGAAGAAAGTAGTATGGATGAAATATTAAAATGTTAATTATTAAATAAACTTTTATCAATAGAGTATATGTTTAATTATTTTGTTAATATTTATTAATTTTGTGAAATTAAAAAAAAAGTTATGCATCTATTCATAAGTAGGTATTGTTCATTATGCTTAGTGAAAAACTCTAAAATATGATTATGATTTGATTAAAAACATTTTTTATGTATTTAAAATGCATTAAGGTACTAATTTTGTATTTAGTAAAATGTATTTCTTTTATTTTAAATTTATTTGTTAAAAATTGTTTTTCAACAAATTGTGTAAGTATTTATTATAAATTATTTGCCTTTTTTTTTATCATTTGTTACGTTGTTTTAAAAAAATTATTAAGATTCTTAGTTTAATTGAATTAATAAAAATATGATTATTATTATACATATTATCTATTATTTAACACATTAATAATTTATCATGGTTATACTTTTATTTCAATTGATTTACGTTTAATAATTTTTTAAAGCATCAATCAATACTTCTGGAACAATTACCGAAATACTTTGTTTTGAAACTTTAAAAACGTACATTAAACTGTGATATGAATCCCCAGTTGCTAAGAATCGAAGTGTTATTGCCAATCTCTTTTTTACTGGAATATCCTGTCTATAATTTGTGTCTTTTTTTACTTATTCGATTACCCACAAGATTTATTAAATATTCAAAATCTGCACTTGACATACGTAGAAAATTCTTAAAAATACCATTACACCTACATAAGAAAATATTTAAAAATGTTTAAGTTTTAATAAATTATAAAGATAAATTGATATTTTAATTTGTAAAAATTATAATTTTACCTCGATTCTCCAGATAGACCAATGTCATCACGTTTAAAATCAGTCATTAAATCATTACCACTATATTTCTGCTTTACTAAGAGACTAAGACGAACCCAATATCTCTTTTTGGAAGCCTTTTTTGCTTCTAAACAAAAAATTACACAAGCACATGCAGCAATCGCCACGTCATTAACGTTCCACATATTGTCCAAGATTAAAATGTGTAACAAATATGTTGCTTTGGTGTGGACGCGCTTGTTTTTAAATTTTATTGGCGTCGTTTAAAGAAACATTTTGTCACCGACATTGGAGACAAAGTCGGGGACAAATGTTTCTTAGTCTAGATGCGGCTTTGCAATAGTATGAATTAAATCCAATAACTAAAATGTCATGTGTCAGTAGACATTTTGTAAATTTATCACGAATATTCCTCACTTTACTTGTTGTCCAACGTTGACGATTATTAATACTATTGCCTACTATTATGGGTTTATGTATGGTGTGCATTTGTGAACACTTGATGGAAGCTTGTATACTCTAGGTATGGTAGGGATCGCAAATAGATGGCACGTGAATCCGAGATGTCACAAAAGAATATTTTGAGCGCATACAAAACCTTTAAATATTATAAATATTATATTTTTTAATTTAATAATAAATTACAATATCACAATGTTGAAACCTTTTTACTATTGTTGACATTTTTCACAAAATTATATTATAGATTCGTTAAGAACGTAGATAACATAGTAAACTAACTTGACACAATATAGTAGCATTAACAACTTTGCCTATTATCTATTTCGATTTATTTCTGAGTCACTATTTCCAAAAATGAATTTTATAAAATCTTATTTAACAAACCGACTAACTGATGAATTTAGTACAGCATGTATTAAGTAAACACTATCTTACAAAATAAGTTTTAATTTATGTAAAATAACCATGTTTAAATATGTAGTATATTTTAATTAGTCTTACTGCTGTTTAATACAAAATTATGCTCAAAACATAAATATAACTTAGTCCAATATCTGATTTTCATTATATTAACAATGTAGACAAGATTGGGTACTTGATGTACTATAATTGATTAATTTGATACAGTTGATTGTAATAACACATTACACTATTACTAAAGACTGAATTCTTGGAATTATAAAAGAAAAATATCAGTTATTAATCTTTAGTTTTATTAAATTATTATTATTATTATTATAACACTTTCATACACATTAATGGACACATGGAAGACCATCTATTTATCGCAAAATGATTTCATAATTTCAACAGAAATATTAAAATACCGATCTATTATAAATTGTATAATATGTTTTTAGAATTTTTTAGTTCACTATTTATAAATTGAAAGAATATAAAAAAATACTCTGGTTATATAAACTAATAAAAATATTTAAAAACATATTTTAACTAAAATAGAATGAGAATCATATTTTCGTACACTCTATGTACAACTCATAAATATAAAAGCTAACAATAAAAACTATGATTTCATTAAGAGCTAAAGATAGACATATAACATTAGTATATAGGTATAATTAAATGATTTAAAAATATAAATAAAAAATAAATTATAATTACCATATATTTTACATTATCATAGTAAAAACAAATCAGATTGAAACAGCATTGATAAAATCAAACAATAACTGGTTTAGAGGTTCTTATGTCAAATAAAATGAATAACATTAAATTAAAATTAAAAAATGTTATCAATGTAAAAAACTATAATTCACATTCAATACATAATTACCCAAGCAACTTTCAGAGAAAAATCCATAAAAAATAATAAAATAAGCGAGCATTATTTTATTATATACCATAAACTTTTTAATTTAAATTATTACATATTGTTAACCTTAATATAGAACATATAAATATTTTAAAATGTTTAATTACATATATATTCTTATAGTATTTGATTTTAAACCAAAATTATGATAAAAAATGTATTTATATTTCTTTACCTGATAATATAATATAATAAGTATTAAATGCTATCATGAATCATGTAAATAAATAGTATTGAAAACTGTTTTTTTTTACCAGATCAATCACAAAGCAGAGCTAAATAAATTTATAAAAAATATTTTTTTAATAAATTAATTGAAAAAAAAAAAAACAAAATCGTAACTCAACTTTTTTTTTTAACATGTTCTGTAGTAGGAGTCACCAATTAATATTTTTAAATTCAAATAACATAATATTTAACATTTTATACTATTATAATAATGACTATCAGCCAAATCTCTATTTTATATTTTAATAAAATAAATAATTATAGATAATTTATTAATGAGAAAAATTATTGAGTTTTTTCCTCCTTGTCTGCAAGCCACTTAAAATTAATTTGTGCTGCCATTTAGTAATCTCTATTTTAGAGAGTACGGATGAAAATTTATTTTATTTTTTGCATCTATATTATCACAGTAATGAATACCCTGAAAATATACTTTATTTTTTTATTTTTAAATCATTTACAATATTGAAGATAAAAGAAATTTTTATCAGTTGAAAATGCGAGTCAAGGTTATTTTATAGTATTTTTGCACTTTATAGAAATTTTTTACACTTTCAGTTTTTTTTTTTTTTTGTTCATAATAATTAAATACGATTAAAATAATGAGCAATTGTTGAAGTTATGAATTATTCTAATAAAGATAATACTTATGATAAGAAATAAATATATAGATTTCTTTTCAAAATTATTGAAATATTAGAATTTAGGTCATACCTTAAATTAAAAAAAAAATGTAAAAAAAAAATATAATAAAAGATATAGACAGAGCGAGGAAATACTACTTATAAAATATAAATTTATTTATTACTAGTAATTATATAGTAAATAAAGCTACAGTTGTTCAGTATTATTTTTATAATTTGACTTAATATTATTAGTACATTTTTTTATCAGATATAATTTATTTTATATTATTTTTTTTTTTTAAGCATGTTTCGGGTTTATGTAAATGTGTTGTATTTTGTGTGTATACTTATTTTTATATCACAATACATGTGACTAGTTCACAATTTTTCTGTGTAATCCCACCAGTCTTTCTCATAACCTTCATGAACATGCTCAAGTAAAACTTTTCGTCGACTTTCGCAGTACCTAAAAAAAATATGGTTATAAAAAACAAAATATTCAAGTTATAAAGATGAATTACCTATATTTATCTTGAACTTTCTGTTTGATGTCAGCTAAATTTTCTGAAGTAATATCTCTTTCTAGGTATTCTGATAGAGTTTCTGTAGCACTCTCCAAATCTCGTTGGTTATCCTAAATCAATGATGAATATTTAAATTTTACATCAAGAGCTAGAATAAATAAATTTAATGTAATTAAGAACTTACCTCAAAAAGAACAGATTGATTATTTTTTTTCAAATAGTATGCAAATACATAAGTGTACATGAGTGTTTGTCTACATTGACATAATATATCAACAGCTTTTTTTAAAAATTGTACCTAAAATGAAAAATAATATAATTATTTAATTTATAACTATGAGTAATTGTTATTATAATATATTTTCAATTGAAAACTAAGAGTATTTAGAAATCAATTTTATTAAGTAGTTTTATATTATATTAATTTCTTAAAAAAATTTTAAATTAATATAAATTTATCAAGTACTCTATTCAAGTTAAGAATGACATAATGATCATTTATGGTAGGCAGAAGTCAGGCTAAGTTCAACATATACAGTTACCATCAGTTAACTTATTAGTAGTGAAACCACATCCCCATGCACAAGTATCTTAAAATACAGATAACTTAATTTTAACAAAATCATCAAAATATAATTCAAATAATATTTAAAAAAAAAAATAAATTGCTTAAAACTTTCTTTAATGAAGAATAATAAAATTGTATTGTCATAGAAAAGTTTGTAAAATCTTTTTGCCAGTCAGATATGATTATCATAAGCTATTAAATGTTATCTTTACAAAATTTTTTATGTCTTATATTTACTGTATATTATTTTATTAGCAGGAAAAAACTAGAAATATCCTAATAAAGTAACACCTGATAATACATTTTATAAATATTTAAATCAGAATTTTTAAAAAATCTTATCTACGACTAATTTGAAAGTACATGAAAGACTAACCATAACGACAGTACCATTTAGGTGTTGACACTTGTGCTGCTTTGATAATTTTTTTTCATATAAATTTTAATAATATTTTTTTGAAAAGTTTACAGTAGTTTAGACTACTATGATAAGCACAAAATTAATAATCATAAAAACAATTAAATAAATATAAAAATGGAGACTAAACGTAATCATCCATCAAACATCAGGGAAAATTAAACATAAAATTATTGGAATAATAGCTTAATTAAAAACAGTTATTTTTTTTAAGTTTAAGTTGATTTATAAAATTATTATCATATTCAATTACCTCAATCCATGACATGTTATGTTGTTGCATTTCTTCCATTTTTTCTTTAACACTAGCATAAAGCTTGTGTTCAAATTTTAGTGATTGCATATGATTCATGTAACGGTTACAGTAGAAAAGGTACCTCTGTAACGCTGCTCTAGATCTTTCTTGAGCATCTCTAGCTGCTTTAGCTTCTTCTTCATCATATCGGTTACAATTATACCTACATAATATGAAAACTTATATAAGAATTCTGATCATAGTAACAGCTTAATATAGTAAGTTTTACCATGAAGATCCATGTGGTTCCCATGGTCCTAGACAAACCCAACAAAAGTCAGTTTTGCAATTTTGATTTTTACAAACCATGTGGTTGCAACCACCATCTTTTTCTATAGTGACATTACACTTAGGGCATTCCTAAAGTTATAACAAAAATAAAACATGTTTTAAACTTAATTTAATATGAAATTAATAATTTGGCTAGAAACATTCAAGTGTAATAGAAAATATATAACTTCAGCTTAAAATTTTAAATACAGGATGATATTTATTATAATCATAATAATTTTAAACAAATGTTAAATACTTGAAACATTTCAAAATCAACTCAAGTATATCACAAATTGTTTATTTGTTTTTGTACAAATAGCTAGGTTGATAAATCAAAAAATAATCATACTAACAAGTGTCATTAAATCCTCAACTATGAAGATATTTATAAATATAAAACATACTTTATATATATATATATATATATAAATAAATAAATATGATTAAATTCAAGCACTTAAAATCACCAAAATATGCATTTGAAAATCAATAAAATAAACAAAAAAATTGTATTCTCAAATTGTTTATAAATTTTTGCAAAATTTTACATTAATAAAATTTTAACTTTCATTGGCTTTTATTTTTTCAGCCTTCAATAAATATACATGTTCACACTGACTCCAAAACTACCTATAACTACATTAATCCAAAAGCAATAATAAACTTAAATTCTACTCAATTCAAACTTGTATATAAAAAAAATAATAAAAAATGTAAATACTTTATTTTATTTAGTCTAAATTTAGTATTTTAGATAATTTAAAAACATTCAATATTTATTATATTTTTTCAGCTATGAATAATAAAAATTACTATTTATTTTTAATTTAAAGAAAATATTACAAGATATTGAGCATATCAAAAGTATGATTTCAATAATTTAATATATATTTTTTAACATACTTTAGTATTAGCTGCTATCCAGTTTGAAGTTTCAGAATCATCATCACACTTTTTGATCCATTTCCTTAATAGATTACATTTAACTGGATCATGCCAATTTTCTCCACACACAAAACAAAACACATGTAAACATCGACATATAACTGGTTTAGAGTCAATATATTGGGCTTTTATGACATTGTTGCAGTCCGGTGATGGACACCAACGTAATAACCGATTACACTATTTCAAAATAGTAAAATTAAAATTATTTTCTATTTATAATTCGTAGATATAATACATACTTCAACAAAACTATTTGTTATTAGATGTTGGTATTTCATTCGAACTTTTGGGTCTTTGACTAATCGCATAACAGTGGCATCATCTACTAATATATCACATCCACTAGCTGCACATGCAATTGTTTGACCAACACCTTCTTCAATAATTTTTGTAGTTAAATATTCTGTCCAGCACTGTGTACAGAATCGATGGTTACATTCTAATCCAGTCATCATCTAGAAATTCACAACACTAATTATTAGTTATTATGATGCATGTGAAACTGTTAAGTATGAAAACATATTGCAAATATAATTGTATACTATTTATAAATTACTATTGAATAAACATGGATAATTTAAGAATGCCTAGTCAAATTTTTTAACTTGTTAATTGTTGAAGCATATACGATAATAAAAAAACATTCTAATTCTTTATATACAGCTTAAGTATTATATACCTATTTGTTTTAATTATATTACACTTTAATCAAATTTCTTTAATTTCATGGCTTCGTATTGTAATCATCTAATGGATTAAAATAATAACCATTCATACAGGTATGTGGATCAAATATACTTTTACATTTACAATAAGTACTGTTTCAGTATTCATCAATTACAAATGCTGTAACAGGATCTAAAGTATGTGTTAAAATTTGATAAATAATAAATCATTATTTTGATAACTATATCTATATAAGGTGTATATTGTTAAATTAGTAACAAAGTTAAGGTTCTACTTACATTGGTTGGAAGCCTTGTAAAACATATAGCACAATCTTCCATTCCAGAAACACTTCTACTGCTACGTGTAGATGTTGGCTAAAATGAAAAAAAATAAATGTTCAATAAAGATCATTAAAAATTATTATTAAAACTTGAAAACTTAATATTATGATAACTAATAATAATATTATTGATTATTTCAAAACTAAGTATATTTTTTATGAATAATGTATATAATAATACAATATTAAATAATACTTTTCATACATATAAATAATAAAAATTGAAATAATTCAATTAAGTAAAAAGCATTACCCTGTGTATAATAGGTTGAGTTCTTTTAAATGGATTTATTACTCTAGCTTCTGAAAATAATTTTTCTTGGTCTCCATCATAAAACCGTTCCATCAATTTTTCTTTATCCCATTTAAAATGATTCAATAAAATACGAGTAGTTGTAGCTGGCATCTGAAATTACAAAAAGTACTTTATACCGAAACTGTATCTTAAAAACATTTAAAATTAATTTTGAATTCAAGACATTAATGTTATCTTGTCCTGGTGTATACAATAATGCTCAATAATATAACAAGGTCATGTAATACATTGCTTAACACAAATGGAAATGAAGTATTTTGTGCTTACTTGAAGCACGGTATTAACTTCCTTGATACAGTCAATCATGTGTTGAACGATATTGTCAGTAGATAAAACTTCAAAGGGAAAATCGTCAACGTCCTGGTTCTTTTCACGCTCATGGCGCACATCAACTTCCATGGCAAAATCCACATCATCTCCACTAGATTCATTGCCAGAATCTATATCGTTCAACGCGTCCTCATCCGAATCCATTGTAACAGCTACCTCCAGTAATTCAACAGCAGAATAGGGATAAAAAAAATGTATTGTAGTTTTAAATAAAATTTTTTTTCAATACCACAGTTAAACAGACGTTAACGTTCGGGCGTCTAAAATGTGGTACGATTGTTGTTCCTTAAAATTTTTTCCAGTGAGTGTATTATTTTGAAAAAATTAAATATATGTATCAAAAATTTCTTTCTGTTTTCAACACAATTTGTTTTATTTTATTTTGCTTAGTGAGTAGCAATCAGTTGTTTTCTGACCCCAGTGACGTCACCCACTTTATGATCTTGTTAACTCTATAACCTCTTTGGTACGTGCCTTAATTCACTATTGAATTCGGTAAACACTGTAGCACATGATCTACTATCGGTACGCCCCCTTTGTAACTGAAGTCAAAAAGTTATCAAATACTTATTTTTTAATTATTGTCAATTTCAATTCATGCTTGCTACAAAATACGAATATATTTTTAATAATAATCAGGGCCGTGGTAAGGAGGGGCGAGAGTGTCTCCGGTCACGGTTCATGGAGGACGCAAAATTGTTAAATTCACATTTTGTGTTAAAAATTGCAACGTTCAATGTTGTATATTTTATTTAAAAAAAACTTCAACGTCTTTTATATTAATTGAAACAATTGTTGAAATTAATATCTAATAGTAATAATAATTTTAAATTAAAAATACCTGAGAACGTATTTTGAAGTTTCACTCCACGAGCAATATTAAGTTGCTACGGGACTAATAATAATAATTAGGTTTCATAATTAGGACTTCTAGCGTTTGCATATTTTTTTTTGAAAGACTAATAAAGTTGCAGAGTTAGTCAGAAGTTCTGTTCATGATTTCTTGATGTAAGAAATCTAAATCCAAAATTCAATATTACATATATTTGCATATTTTTTATTATTTCATTTTTAGAGCATATTTTAATATCTAATATATAGCTTTTAAGTGCTATAAAAAGTTATATTGTATCATGTAGTTAAACATTTATAAAAATCGATTTTGGATTTTTACTGTACATTTATTAGTTATAATTTTTTTTCGTGCAATTTATTTTAGTCATAAAATTTAAAAAACATAAGCACTGTAATATAATTAAGTTTGCTTGAATATATATTTTTCTGAACTAAATAATTATGATGGCATTTATTTAAAACAATAATATAGGTATGTTATCAATAGTGTCACTGCTTACAATCTAAAACAGGGATGGCCAACTCGCGGCCCACCTTGGAAAGTTTGCGGTCCGCAAGATTTATCAAACATTTACAAAAAAAATTTATTTTTGTCCCAATAAAATATTCTGGAATGCCCGCACAACGCGGAAGCCATATTATTAACAACGTAATCGCGACAAACTCGTTGATTCATCAACAAAATCTTTGTTCCCAAGTATTGTCATTGAACCATATATGGTTCATATAGTCTGACACATATAGTGAGTTAAACAGAATTATGTAATTAGTTATTAGACACTTATAAATAAATATTGTAATTATGAACTGCGTACATTTGTATTTAGAACTTCACGTGTTCAGTAGGTACATATTGTATAAATAAAGGACCATCTTTAGCTTTTTCAGCGCTTAATGCAAGAATTATTTTGGCGATCCTCCATCTTAAACGACTTAAACATATAATTTAAACAAGCAGAATTTTGGGAGCTGGAGGGGGCTCTTTATATATATTATGACCTAAGTCTCATTTATAATCAAAAATGCTCAAAATAATTTTTCAAACTTGCATATTTGTTACATATTTGTATATTATTCAGATAACAAACATAATAATACTTGTAATAACATTAAAGGGAACGAACGAGCTGACCAAGCTGCCAAAAACGCTACCACATCCACACAATCATTACCTCTTCAAATTATCTTTCGCATCGATGTATTAAATTTAATTAAAAACAAAGACACAGTTACATGACACCAACAATGGACGTCTAAGTCCATCAAACTCAATGAAATATAACAAAATCACTGGCCTTTTTCCCCTGAAGTATCCAGAAAGTTCTAAATCATAGTTACCAGGCTAAAAATTGACCACACAAAATTAACGCACAATTACATAATGTCCAAAGAAGAAACATTAATTTGCATCGCATGCGGAATACGCATCGATATAAAACATATCTTTACCGAATGCCACATATACAATATGGACCGAAAAAATTACAACCTCTCTGAGTCACTTGCTGAAGCCCTTAACCCATAGGCGCAACTATAGCTCAAATATTGGGGGTGCTGAATTTACACAGCTCGCACTAACCGGTGAGAGGGCTACCCCTCCCCCTAAGTACCTTATCTCAATTTAATCATTAAATGCATCATAACAACACTAAGTTTAAATATAGATAAAATAAAACTAATAGATGACATAGAAAAATCGTCAAAAGAAACGATAAGATTTTTCATATGATATAATATGTATTATTAAATGTATTTATTTTATACATGCATAGTTTTTTTTTTTTTTTTTATAAAAGTTGAATACTTAACGGTAAATTTAGATTAAGAGAATTTTTAACTTTATTCTTTTTTATTTAAAATAACAAATATAGAATCTATATGTATTACATATTAATGACCATTTTACATATTTAAGATATATTTAATTTCAATATACGAGTAATAAATCAATGTTGTAGTATGGAGGTTAGATTAGGTTAATCCTGCCTGGGCCCTTTAGAATCAGGCCGACACTGCATATAATATTTATATTGGTATTATCTTGCGATGACTAGTGGAATATTTTTCAAGTAATTCTGACGATGTAATTAACTAATAGTCATGAATAGGGCTCGGATATTGTTGCATTTGCAACTTTTTCCGTTGCTTGGATTTGTTGCTAAGTAGGTTTTAAATTTATCTCATGCGAGTACGAATTTATATATAAAAGTTTTTAGTGCAACTTTTGCAATTTTGGCCATTATTTTAATTTGATTGCAATTTTGACCATTTCCTCTATTTGAATACAATTTTGTTGATTTTTCTCATTTATTGTACATTTTTATATACTTTTAATTTGTGTATGACATAATTTAATTTTTTTTTAAGGTAAGAGGTATGTTAAAATACGTAGTACGCGTTACTTCAGGATTTAGGTAGACCGCCGCAACCGACCGGAAATTCGATAATGCCGCGGGTATTATTAATACCCATATTATTTTTTAGAAACTAATTTAGAAATATTAGGGTAAATATGACGGTATATCGAGTGTACTATTGTAGTTTTAAGTTTATTATAGAATTTTTCTTCAGTCTTCAGTCGTTTAGTGTCGTCTCGTGTTTCTTCGTATTATACTTTTGTGTCTTATTATTTTGCATTGACGTCAAAAAGGTTAGGTTAGTCTACGGTAGCCAGCATCGCCGGGGGGAGGTTCAAGGACACCAGGAACAAAAAAGGAAAACGCATTTTCTCCTCATGTCACCGTCTCTTCCATCCCCCCCTAACCCGTTCGTAACAACGAATAATAAACAGTACGACCGGACTTATCGGGCGTCCGAGCCGAGATTAATTCGTCCGCCGGCCGAACGTCACGTCACGTCGCCACGCACAAAACGCGAACGATATGCAAATGAACACAATACGCGAAACGAACAACGGCCTATTAAATGCGATCTTCGCGATCGCGGGGGCGTGTGCTCGGGGTGCTCGCGAACAAAACGGATCGCACGTCCGGGTCCTGCACGGGATGTCGACTCGAAAAGAACCATCGATCGTGATAAATATCATAATGTCAGCAATTGACAATAATGCTACAGGACTAGGTCAAATATTTTAATCAATGAAAAACGTTGCTCAAGATTTTTAATTTTTAAATCCGACAATAATTTATTCTTTTCCTACTGTCAACTTGTGCAATAAATATAAAAATGATCTTGACAGATTTAAATTCATTTTAGAATAACAAAGGTTTAAAGAGCATGTTTGAAAATTACATGAAAATTCAAATTTAAAGTGAACTTCTTGAAATGTTAAATTTTGTCCATAAAAATTAATTTCAAAATGTATATCCAAATATATCAGTTTCTTATCAAATATATCGCACTGTGTCTGTGACTTCAACTACGCTTGAATAAAAGTTTAACAGACTAAAATTAATAAAAATATACCTGCGATATATTACATAACAAGCAAGACTTAACTATTTGTCTATTATAACAGTAGAAAACATAGTTTTTAAATTTAGAAATATTTAGAAATACAATTTTTTTAAAAAATTAAAGTAACCAAGGTACTTTTAGTTCATGTCCTCATATTATTTATGATTTTTAAATGTAACACATTCTGCTCTATATGAATTATATATGAAAACAACAGTTTCAATAAAAATGTTAAATAAAATTATACTTTTTGTTTTATTTTGACACCCTTACTTCCACCTACATAAGGGAGCCGCATCATCACAATCATTCAATACACAAAAATCTTCAATTTAATCAATTACTCTTTCATTGCGTAATATATTTAAACTTTTAAAAGTATAAAAAACATACTTACTTTATACTAACAATTTAATTACTGGTATAATTAATTCCTATTCGTTTTAAGCACAAAAATGTTTGTTTATCATATAATTTTTTAAAAACATTTTGACAAAGCATTCTTGAGCAATTATGTTTAACTTTAATTTGCGATGATTGATGATAGTAAATAAAAGCAAAATGAAAATAAATATAAAATATTGGTTGGATATTTCAAATTAAAAAAAAAAAAAAAAAAATGATAAAAAAAATAAAAAAATTATAATGTTAATATTTATTAATAAAAAAAATTTATAAAAAAAAAAATACTTATTCTATATTAGGTATTAGCCTTTTAATTATTTTGTCACTTATAAACTTTTAAAACAGTTATATAAGACAATATAGTAATTTAAAAACATATGCACCCCAGAGCAATATCATATGCAACTAAAAGCACGAACAATTTTTTCAAAATTTAGACCAAAATTACACATTAGGTATTAACGATTACTGAACCACTATGTTCTGTTTTCTTTTCACCAGTTTGACTTTCAACCATTTCTGAAATTGGGGTGAATCCACCTTTTACTTGTATGTTATGTTTATTTTTGAATTCATTGATTTCAATTCCTTTTTTAGTTAACTGTTCGTTCAACGTTTTCACAATTTTCCCCATCTAAAAAATAAAATAAAAAATAAATTAACAACTCTTTTAAATATTAAAAATATCATTCGATTTTGGTATCACTAAGATCTGAATATGAATTAATAAATTAACACATAATAATTAATTTATCATGATTCGAGTTTGTAATTATCTATGATTATTCATACCAATTAATTAATATCTGAATATTTATTTTAAATAATAAAAAAAATTAGAATAAAACAGTGATTATAACTCTATTCAGTCACTACATGCATGGTTTTATTCTAGCTTTTTATGTGATTAAAGCATAAACTGCTTTAGATTCAAAACAAAATTATTGATATAAACTTTAAGGAAGAAAAAGATAAATCAATTAGTGTAATATGATAATATTCAAACCGTGTCAAACATGCTCAACAACAATTACTATTTAAAAAATTAATGAATAGTATATTGAGTGACAAGAGCGGAGAGTAACCTATTTCAGTCGCCGGTGAACTGTGCGGCACAAGCCACAAGTGAGGGCCGCATTTAGCCCAAGACTAAAATTGCCTTGCCACGCAAGTTACACATACTATTTTTTGTTACGCCTCTGTATTGGTGGAAAAGGTATCAATACAACAGTTTATTAAACAAAAATAATTTCAAGGTAGAAATTTTATTTTATTTCATAATTATTATAATTTCCATTTCATTTATATATTTTATAATAACTTATAAGATTATAATACTATATTTTATTTTAATTTATATTTAATGTCTAACCAATACAATTACTTGTATAGAAAACATTTCCACTGACACTTGATTTTTTTTTTTTTTCATTAATGTCATTGGCTTTTAAAGTTGATGCACTATAATTAACAACATGTATTGTTTGTGTTGATTATGGATTTGTTAAAGCCTAAGTTATCTGGTTAAATATCTATTTTTTTTTTTGTTGTTTATTGAATAATGAATGTTTATTTATATAACCTTTGACGATTTGGCTAGATTTCTAACCATCCTGGTGTTTGAGTGCTGTATTATCTACTTTTCTGCCCAGCACTTTTACAGATTTTTACTTCTCTGCCTGGCACTTTTGAAGACTCCTACTTTATCGCCCATTTGACAAAAAAAAGATCACTTTCCAGTGCTTCAACCGTGATCAAAAACCAAATTTTCAGTGCAGGCATGACAAAAACAATTTAACTTACTTCTCCTCTGTTTTTAACAAGTGTAGGTAGTACATCACAAATCTTCCTTTCAACCAATACTCCACCAATCAGTCGAAAACATTTTCTATCTTCGTCCAACTTGTTTAGAGTATCGATAACAATACTAAAATGGGATTACCAAACATATTATTATATATTAACACATAATACATCATACGAATTCCAGACAAAAATCACCTGTGTTCATTGAGATCCAACTCAATTTCGGATAATTTCGTTGCGAGTTGTCTTTGTTCTGTTCGTAAAGCATTAAAAGTGTTGTGAATTTGTTCCTCCTCCGTAGGTTTCTTCACTTTCACTAATTTTTCCATTTCACAAGTACTTATTCAACAACGAGTATCAGGTAAATGATGTAAATTAAGCGACCGTGTGCAATGGCTTTGTTAAAAAACGTACCGTTCATTTATTTCTTTGCTGTCACAAAGTCCGCCGTGAACTCATAAGCACTCGACCGACACCAAAAGTCTATCAGTTATTTTTAAAGGTTATATAGGTACCACATTATTCTTACCGTATCCGATCATTCGAGAGGTCTTGGTTACGATAAAGTACGATAACAATATTATATTTTATGGTACGAACACAGATATAGATAATATTATCTATATCTGTGGGTATGGACGAGGAGGCATGGTATAATTTTTGAAAAGATGTAATGCTTTTTGGATTTTGTACAATCCACCCTTCTATTTATTTATGTATCTATCCATGATCAAGTACTACTTTACTATACTACTTTACACATGTCTATCTATTTGTTTTTGATTGCGACGCGGCACCGTGAATTTTAAATCAATACCTATTAGGTCGACGATGATTTATAACCATGAACAAAATATGTTCACGATTGTAATTGTTCTAAACGAAATTAGTATTTTTTCTATGAATGAAAGAATGCATCATCACTAGGTATTAAAAATGTACGATACATTTTATGGACAATCTGTGTCTTATCATTTCTCGACTGTCCAATTCCATACGATGAATTGATCGGCGTTTGTAATCCCCGCAATTTTTAACCGGTATATTTGAACCGTAATGGTTACCACATTATCACTTAGATTATAACCGTTTGTGTGAAATAGAAATTAAGAGAACTACAGATCGTCTGCACCTCATTGTAGTAATTAATAATCAGTAAAATTATTTCATTTTTATTAGAATATTACTTTTACCGTGAATTATGTCTGGTAGTCAAACCACTCTGCTCTTCAACAGAGATTCCGTAAGCGCTTTTTTTTTCATATTCAAACTGGATAATTTACTTTTGAAATTTTTATAGGCCGGCGAAGTCGACGACTCAGAGCTCATTAATAATTATGACAAACAGTATGAAAAAGTGAAAAAAAAGGCCAAGGCAAAGCTACCACCTATTGATTCAATGTCAGAGTTGAGTTTAAGTGGCCCGGTAATTGTGATATTTCAGTATATGTTAGAGGCTTTTATTTCCACATGCTTTTAAAGTTTACATTTACCTAATCAATTACTATTTTTCAGTTTAATTAAACACAATTTATGTGACTTGAAATTTATTATTGTGAAAAAATCACAGTATCATAATGATCGCAATAATGAAATAACTACTATAAAAAGTTGCATGAAATAAATTTACTTTTTAAGTATTAAACTATTCTATCAGTTTAATAATAATTTTAAGTATATAACATAAGAAATAATTTACATGATAGTTACTAGTGGATACACAAATTAATTGTCACAGCAAATTAATTAAGATATGATCTTAATTACATTAATTAGAAGTGTCAAATATCAATTAATGGGATTTGAGTATATGCTAATTCACTTAAATCTTAACAATGAGTAGCACTTACTCTCATTACTAACTAATTAACTAATAACCTTAATCATGCAGTAAATAATCTGAAAAATTGATTTAAATACTAATATTGTTAAATAAATTAATATATGAATTAGATAAAACAGATAATGTATACTGTATAATCTTAAGACATAATGCTTTTCATTACAGGAAATCCATGAAACTCCTGTAAAAAACAAAGAAAAAAAAAAAGTAAGTACAATTTAAATATTTTGTTCTTATAAACATATAATATACAGTTTAATCAAATAGAAAACAAAGAGCAGATTTTAAAACAAAAATTTGAGTGTTACTATATAATGCTTAATATATAGATGAATAATAATATATGATATTAGCCAATTTTTACAATTTATATTTCACATTTGATGATTGTAATTGATGATTATAATTTTATCAAATAACGTAAAAAAAACTCCATATTGATATGTTTTAATAATCCTAATTTTCCAATGAATTTAATGATAATTAAAACAATACATTTATAGATATTGGTCTCCTTAAAAAAATTATAAGAGACACAACATTTTTAGGTTATTCATAAATTCATTAATAATTTGTATGTTAATTATAATCTAATAAAAGTTTACATTTTCAGATCAATATCAACCAGAGCTATCATACTGAATCGGCAAAATCTGATGTGGTACATGTTTTGTTTTTATATTTTTCATGATTTACTTGATTAGTATTTGGAAATTTCTATTATTCTTTATTTTAATTGATAAGTTGATTATGAAAAATATTGTCAGAGATATGCGTCCATAGAATTTTTCATTCTAATAACCTAGTTCAATATTTTGTTATCAGCTCAATTAGTTAAAATTTACCAAACTATTTGGCCTTACATTTATAGATTCAAGAACAAAATATTTATTGGGGTAAAAGATTAAAAAAAAAAAAAAAAATTGTGTAATTAATAATAATTATATCAAACCAATTTCTATCTTAATAAATTAATAACTAATCATTGGTTGTTTATACAATTGGACATTTATCTATAAAAAATTGATGTTACTATAATAATTTTTATACTTCTTGCTGTAATTCTGATTTTTCTTAAAAATTAATAATTTATTTAAGAATTTTTTATATTATTTAATATTAATATGTTTATAATTTTTATTTTTTTTAAGGATACATCATTCATTTTTCCACCGCCACCACCTCCACCTGATAGCATAAAAAATTTGCCTAAAACTGAAAGAGAAGCACTTACATCAATGCTTATGTCATATTATATGAGTGGATTTCATACTGGTTTGTTTTATCAATATGTTTTAATATTCAATTTGAATTTGTAATCATTAATGTAAATTTTATAACTTATATTTTAAGCAAAAATAAGTATATATTATAAACATTTTTAATTATTTTTACATTAATGAAATCTGAATTTAATTCATTAAGTTTACACATTTTACTTTAAATTACGAATAATAAATTAGCTTAAATTAGTAATAATAATAATAAATATATTTTTTACTTCACTCAAAATTTAAAGTTGTGTTATATTTAATTTTTAGGATATTACCTTGGAATGAAACAAAATAATTCTGAAAAATGAAGTTGTACCCAGCATATTTATTTATTTAACATACAAAAAACTTGAACAACATGTTAATAATTAACACTGTATATATCAATGTAGGTCTTTATGCTTTTGAATTAAATTATAAATTATTGTAAAAAATGTTATTTTATTAAATAATTATTAAAAATAGCAAGTTTCAAGTTTGTATAACATATTTCCTTATTATATAATCTGGTATTTTTATTTTTATATTTAAAATTATAAGGATTTATAAAAAAGCCAAATATAACCATCTGACTCTATTTTGGTCAAATCATACTGCATTTCAATGTCAAAATTGTATTAATAATAAATGAAATATACTGAATTTTTTTCTATTCAAATTAAATTTAGCATATTTTAGTATAATGAAATAATAGATAAAAAACATGAAGTTATGAATTTTTAGTTTAATTTTTAAGCACTTAATAATAAATCATACATTTTACTGAAACCATTTTATAAGTAATGAATGCACCTAACCTGTAATACAAATATTATATTTACATGCAGTTGAATAAAAATTAACTATCGCAGTGATAGTTGATCTGAATAGTTCTCATAGTAAAGAAGGATAAAACTTTTCTTTCCTAGTTTGTTGTATTATACCAATCAATAAACAGAAGAAAAATAATGTTCTTTTAGAAGATTTTTTTTTATTTATTTATATTTTTTTTTATTAAAAAATTATATTAATATGACATACTTAAATATGAATTCTACTATATTATTTTAGTCTATAGTAAAATTTAGGTGAAAAGTTTCAGTTCATATATAATATTGTTAAAATATTTTTTAGCTATTAAACATAATAATTATTAGGGCTAGGGACTTATAGGAGTTTGCATATTTTTCAATAATCATTCTAAACATAGCTAAGTGATATAAAAATGTGTTTCATTGTACTAAAAGTTTAAAGTAATCATTTTTATTTTGCATATTTTGCATATTCAGCTGTTTTTTCCCTATAAGAGCATATTTTGTTATATTTCTATTTTAAGAGCATATTTTACATATTTTATTAAAATTAAAACAATATTCAGCAGAAAACAATATTTTATACATATGTACTATACAACATTTAATATGAATTTTCTAGAAATTGGAAAAATTAGATAAAAATAAATATAAATTATTATTTAATCTATACTGTGTGTGTGTAATGTGTTTTCCCAATTATTTGTGTGTTGTTAGTGTATGTCGGTCGATAAGAAATATGCCGAATACGGTCAGTTGAAGTCAATTCGTTTATTCGTTTGTATCATAATATGTTTTCGTCTTCCGTCAGTATAGTTCGTTTGTTCGTATTGTTTTTTTTTTTTTTTTTGAAGATTAAATTAAAAATGCCCAAAGTAAAAACAAATACATGTAGTCGCCTACAGTCATATGTTTCAGAATTCGGTAGTTCTGTGTTTTTAATTGATGAATCAGTACTATTTTGTGAAGTTAAAGTTAGTGCTCAAAAACGATTTACTGTGTTACAACATCTTAAAACCAAAAAAACATGTCAAGTCAGTTAATCGCATTGATAAGCCAAAAAAAAGTCAACAACTTCTTGAATTTCATCTGCCAACTAAAAATGTCAGTTTAACAAAGATTTATGTGAAGCTATGTTATTTGCTAATATTCCTTTATACAAATTAGAAAATATAAAATTTAGAGAATTTTTACAAGAGTATACTGGAAAAGAAATTCCAAAGGAAGCTACTCTTCGTAAAGGTTACGTAGAAGACTGTTATAAAAATACTTTAGAAAAAATACGAAATCACGTATCAAATAACAAAATATGGGTATCTATTGACGAGACGACTAACATCGAAGAACGCTTCGTAGTCAATGTTATTATAGGAGTTTTACTAACCGACGGACCGGGTGAGATATTTTTGATAAATACAGAAGAATTAGAAAAAGCTAACCATCAAACTATTTTTAAACTTTTTGATAAATCCATAAATTTGTTATGGCCACAAGGCGTTCAACATGATAGCGTCTTGTTATTTTTGTCGGATGCTGCACTGTATATGGTGAAATCGGGAAAGTCAATTCAAGCACCTTACTCAAAGATGGTGCATGTAACATGTATAGTACATGGATTTCATCGCGTGGCCGAAGAAGTATGTTCATATTTTAACACAGTTGACCAACTTATATCAAATGTAAAAAAAATATTTTTGATAGCACCATCTCGAACTCGTGTATTTAAAAATGAAGCTCCTAACATCTCAATGCCACCACAACTGATTTTAACTCGTTGGGAAACATGGTTGGATGCGGTTAAATATTATTGTGAGAATTATGAAGTAATAAAAAATATTTTTAACAACCCAGATTTGAAAGCAAACTTGGCATTTATTTCTTCAAACTATAGTTTTTTTTCGATTTATATTACACGTTTGGAAAAACAAAACATGATGCTCTCCGAGTCTATTTCCGTCGTAAAAACTGTTAAGGAAAAATTACAAAGTCCACAAGGAGAAAAAGGAAAGGCTATTTACAAAAAATTGGAAAATTTTCTGTCAAAAAATGAAGGATTTAAAATTATTAAAAAAATTTCCAATATTTTAGAAGGAGTAGACAGTTCTATAGAAAATATTGAAAATTTGCAAGTCAACGATTTACAGTTCTATAAATTCGCTCCACTAACATCTGTTGATGTCGAGCGTTCATTTTCAAGGTACAAAAATTTACTGGCGAATAATCGCCGGTCATTTACGTTTGAAAATATAAAACAAATTTTAGTGACGCAGTGCAATTCATTTCGGTAAGGTTTAAAAAATTGTTAAAAAATTAAAACAATATGCATTTATAATTGAAATTTTTGTATTTTTTTCACTTTAAAGACAAGCATAAAGAAGAAATGAAGTATAAGTGTACCTTTATAAATTTGTAATTTCTTTATGTTTTCTACGAAAAATAAAAAAATATTTTAGAGCATATTTTAGCATTTTTGTAAATTTTAATAGCATATATGATAATTTTTAAGGGCATATATGCATGCATATTTAAAGGTTTTTAAGGGCATGAAGTTCCTAGCCCTAATAATTATGGATGAACGCTTTATGCAAGAAAAATTATCGAAAATAGTAATCCCAAAGAAAAATCATAATTCAAAAGCATTTTCCCTTAGAACAAGGGAAAACAACTACCAAAACTGTGGTTCAGACAGTCCAACATTAAATGCTTATCATGTAATACATCTACATACCTTGAACACAATCTTGTTTCTAAAAATACCAAAAATAAATAAAAAACATCATTTTGGTTAGAATTTTATATTACACTATTATAATTATGATTATATTTTTAAACTCAGTTACAGACATTTTTATTTATTTTTTTAAACACAAATTATATACTTATATAATAACGATGTAATGTACCTAATAACGAAATTAAGAAGTGCTATGCTTCAAGAGAGAATAAATATCTTAATGCTTTTAACTACAGAGCAAGAATTGATTATACATTTAAATCCAGAGGACATTATTGATGATTTTATAATTTAATTTAATGCAGAATTGTGTTATAACCAATTATAATTATTGATCAAATTTATTTTATTTTTTCTTTGAAGTACATGACTATATTTTTGTTTATTTACACTATTTAGATATATTACACAAACCATTTCAAGTGTTATATATTTGATTTTTTTCTTTTTTTCATAATTTATTTAAAATTTTAATTATAAAAACAATCATAACAATTAAGAAATTATTATTCAGTCATTTATTTTAAAGAAACAATTAAAATTTTAAATTATATAGTTTTTTAAGATATTTGTGTGTATAATTAAAAGATCTGTGTATGCCTATGATGCCTACTGTAGCTGCTTTTTATTTTTCCTTAAATCACTATATAATGGTAGTAATTTTTTTAAAAAAAAAATAAAATATTACATCTAATATAATGTCAAAATCAAAGCTATCAAATACATTTATTTCTAATCAAATAGTGCCTTAACAATCAAAACAATTTGCAAAATTCTATTCTATTTTGATTCTATGATACAAAAACAAATTTTTAGTCACATACTGTAAATTTTGATGTTATGATTTACAGTATGTAACTAAAAATTTGAATCACAAAATGGCCGGTTGGTGTGGTTGTTGGAATTACTATTAAATTAATTGTAAATTGCAAACCGTAATAATATTGTTCTGTGGTAATAATAACATATCATATAATGAAATACAATAAGTTATTGTCAATAACAAAATATAATGTAATGTGGGGCAATCACTTCGAGTGCTCCAACTTAACATTGAAGGAATATCAAAAAACAAAGCAGAGTTTTTAGGTAAACTAGCAGACAATCATTTCCATTGACATAATTGCTCTTCAAAAAAGTCATACTACAGATGATATAGATTGTGCTCATTCAATATGAAATTTGGGAGTGCTAAAATTACTCGTCCATGGCGAAGCCCACCACAAACCCCTTACAACAATCATTCCCAACCTTTTTCATCTTATGCCCTATCGTAAATTTTAAAAAATCTCATTCTCCCTCTCTCTAAATTTAGAGTTTAGGCGATTTTTTTAGTCTTGCTAATTAAACTTTGTACCTATCAATATTAGATTGAATGCGAAAAGGTCTAAACACTATCATTATAAAACATGACTGTTATCGATGCGGAATAATTTGAAAATATGTAGTGATTTCAATTTTAAACATTGCAAATTTAATATATCATAATTATTTTTGTAATTTTATCATCACCATATTCTCTTCCGAGTCTACCCAAAATTATCCTCTCCCCCTTGGAAACCACTGCTCTTCAATTACTTAGCATAAAATGTTTTAGTTTTACTATTTAATTATAATTGTAGCAATTTTTTATATTATAACTAAATATTATTAATAAACATAACTATTTTTTTATCAATAAGCAATCAAACCTGTAGACGGTAAACAAAACCAAAATCCTAAATGGTATTCCAGCAATAAACTTGAATATAATAACAGTATCACATGCATAAGTAACATAAACACAAATACCCAATATCATATGATTTACATATGTATTTACATAATATGAGAACGTTCGTGGGCATTATCAATGCAAATTGGAGTTTATTCATTCTTATAAATACAAAATAATCCTTTTTAAACAATAATTTTACCTCAAGATAAACTAGAGGTACTAGTTTAGAACTCGAGGTTGCTAAGCACTCCCTGGCACCCCCGTATATGCGCCAATGGTGCTACTAGAGGCTACATTCATGGATATAATATTGTCAAAGCATTACACGTAAAAGCACACGGATTAGCTACTTATGTCAAAAAAGAGATCACAGATTATTCCATCGAATATAAATTACATTCAGGTCATTAACATTAAAATAGCTGATCTAACCATTATAAACATATACAAACCTCCTGCTGCAAAGTGGTCCTCCATCAATCTGCGTTGCGCACCACATCCAGCGATATATGTAGAAGATTTTAATAGCCATCATCAGGAATGGGGCTATGAAAAAAATGACGATAATGGTGAGTTCCTGTGTAACTGAATTTCAAACTTTAATATGGCGCTTATTTATAACGCCAATGTTAAAGGATCCTTTCATAATGCCAAGGATAAAGGATCCTTTCACTCCGCTAGATGGCGTAAAGATTATAATCCTGAATTATGTATAGCCACATTAAATGCAAAAAATGGCGTTAACAAATTCTGAAAAACACTGATGGATAATTTCCCACATAGCCAACATCGCCTAGTACTGATTAACTGAGGCCTTTAAATTCCAATAGTAAAATCCATTCCGAAACCTCGTTAGAATCTAAAGCAAGTTGGGCTAACTATGCGAAAGATTTAGACTCTGTTATAAAATGTATCTCGGCTACCCCTGATAATTACAAAAGATTGGTAGGAACTGTATTAGCAGCCGCGAAACAACCCAAGAGGTATACGGAAAGATTATATTTCGGGCTGGTCTGATGTCTGTGAAGAGCTATTGACAGAGTTTGAAGCTCATGTTAACGAGGAAGATGCAGACTTGTTGTTCAATACATTGAGCGAAAATAGGAAAGAAATCTGGAGGTCTAAAACTGAAGGCCTTGATTTTACCCGTTCCAGCAGAAAAGCATGGAACCTGGTAAGAAAATTAGGCGAAACTCCAACTATTAACCAAGGCACGACAGCTATAACAGCTAATAACGTCGCAAATCGTTTACTGAACGCTTCTAAATTGAAGATAGACCATAAGTGGTTTACTGAAGTAAGAAAAGATTGGCGAAGGACCAAAAAGCAGCTTATACTCGAACCAGACATTATTGAATTTTCTTCTCCATTTACAATGTCCGAACTAGAATTAGCCTTAAGCCAAATCAAGAAAAATAAATCCTCAGGCTTAGATAAGATACTTCCCGAAATTCTTATATATTTAGGCCCAAACAGTTGTCGTTACTTAGTAAAACTCTTTAATGTTATTTTGGAGACGGGAGAATTACCAAAATTTTTTAAGGTTACAAAAATACATACAATAAAGAAACTTGGCAAAGAGGGGAATGACGCTGTTGATTATAGAACTATTTCCCTTCTCAGTAGTTCTTACAAGTTTTTAGAAAGACTTATACACAATTGAATAGCGCAAACGATAGACACAATCCTTTCAGCAGTACAAGTAGGTTTTAGGAATAGGAAATCATGCTGTAAACAATTTATGTCACTCACAGTTTTTTTTATAGAAGCAGGATTTCAAAAGCGCCTCAAAACTGGTACTGTATTTATTGATCTGTCGTCAACATACGATACGGTTTGGAGAGAGGCATTGATGCTAAAACTATCCAAAATTATACCCTCTATTAATCCAATATTTAAGGTTTTCCTTAACAACAAAGAGAGCAGGTGGCATTTAACAAGCAATGGATTACCCCAAGGATCGATACTTGCTCCTCTACTTTTCAATTTATTTGTACATGACTTACCGGAAACAGATTGTAAAATTTTCCAATATGCTGACGACAGCTCTAGCCACACAAAAACGTAAATCGCAGAGTGTGAAAGTGTGTTATGTGGGGCTTTGGACAAATTAAGGATCTACTTCTTAAATGGAGGCTCAAACTCAATAGTTCTAAAACTGTCTCCACATTTTTCCATTTAAATAATAGAGAAGCTAACGTCGAAATGGAAATCAAATCTGAAGATCAGAGAATTAAACATAAATCTACCCCTAAATACCTTGGCGTTACCCTAGATAGAACATTGAACTATAGAAAACATCTCAAAAACACAGTAAACAAACTAAAAACAAGAAATAACATAATCGCCAAGTTGGATGGCACTAAGTGGGGAGCAAATACTCAAACTTTACGAACCTCTGATTTGGTATTGGTATATTCAGCGGCAGTGTATTGTTCGTCTATTTGGCTAAATAGCAAACATACAAACAAAATTGACACTCAGCTGAATCAAATAATGCGAATGATCACTGGATCCTTAAAATCAACCCCATTGGCCTGGCTTCTTGTCATGGCGAATATTCCTCCTCCAGGGTTAAGACGTGAAGAAGCACTCAGAAAGGAGTGGAAAAAATATCTAGATAATCCTAACTTCCCAATCCGTTTAATTATTAACTCCCTTCCACATATGAGATTAAAGTCGAGGAACCCGGCATGGAACAGTGTTGCTAACATTAATATAAATGAGTCCCAAGTTGCAAGTAAATGGATTGATATATGGAAGGAAGAGTCACCGAATAGTAACCACTTATTTCACGACCCAATATCCGCTTGCCTGGTTTCAATCTCCCCAGAAAATAATGGGTACTCCTTAATAGATTCCGATCTAATCATGGGCGTTGTGCACACCTTATGAGCAAATGGGGATTGGGAACATCAAGTGGCTGTCAATGTAGAGATTCCAATCAAACGATGTCTCATATTGTTGAGGAGTGCCCCTTGTTCTCCTTTGGGGGCGGATTGGATGGGCTTCACAATTTGGAGGACGGAGCTGATGAATGGTTGATTGATTTGCCATTGGACTTGTGACTCCAGAAAATGTGTATATATATAAAAAAAAAATGAAGTCGCTGTTATCAACATTTCATGTTATAATTTGTTAGTAATATTATTAGTATTGTTATTTATTTAGTTATTACCATCAATATTGTATTTATCTTGTTCTATATACTCTATATTGTACTATATACGCTAATAATAATAACAAAATAAGTTGAACTTATTCTGTGGTTATAATTTTATTCAATCAATTAATTATTAATCAAATTAGATAAAACTTGTTTTATTATATTATTATTATATTAGATTCTTTAACTCATGTTTACAAGTGATCACTCCAATTTATTCTTTATCTCGATGAGTATATACAGTGACTCATTAGAGTTTGCCTTGGTCAAAATAAATGTTGGGTCTTATAATTTATATTAATAAAATATTTTAAGTTCAGTTAAATCAGAACCGCGGGGCATTAATTATAAGGCTTGGGGCTCTGGGCAACTCCCCCTATTGCCCACCCCCTCATGCAGTCCCTGAGTATAAATCACGAATTAATATATTCATATCTTATTCGTGTTTCATTATCACTTTATCACTTATCAGTAACTGGTGATTTGATATGAATTGGTGGTTCCGGCTTATGATTTTCATATACCAATAATTATTTCATGTTGATTAAACAAAGTTTACTTGTCGTTTGACCACACATTTAAAGATATTTCTTAGTCATGTCATTTTGTTCAAGGAGATTTTTTCTACGAGTAAAATATTTTTTATTTCTTTATTTATGATTATTATAAAAATGTATATAGCTGATTAATGCTAAATTGCATAAGTTGTGTAAATTGAATTAATAAATTGTATTGATTGTTATTATTCTCATTATAGTTTCAAATTAATCAAATTTCTAAACTCAACTTCAGTAATGTATCAGGAGGACCAAGTCAACGTATAGAACTACCTAAACGTAAAAAAATATTTTTTGGGAAGGATGGTCCAATTACTTGGAAAACTTTTGGAATAACTGGTGTTTTAGGTGTTGGTATGGTTACATACTTGTTGTACCTTAAAGAAGAACAAGAAGAGAGTGAGTGTTTGTAAAAGTAGTATTGATTCATTACATTTTAGTAGTATTACTTGGATAAAAAATTATTTAAAGTTTATTAACTATGATTAGGTTTAACGAATTATATAAAAATTTGTATTATTTAAAGTTGTAAATTATTAAGCTGAGTTTATATAACCATTTTTGCTAACTATATACATTTAGTAAAACCATATATTACACCAATGTACTATATATCTAAAATCTTCTATTCTCGATAGTACATTGATTTTGTTCATATATGTTAGTATGTGCAAGACAGATTGCAGTTTTGTATTACTTATCAAAGTTAAAAACAATTTCCATGGAACTTAATTTATCAAGAATCAAAAATAGATAAATAAATGTCATTATTTAAAATTCTATTATTGGTATTATTTACCTATTTACCTGATAGAATAAGAAAAATTATAATAATACTACATTTTTGTAGTTTATGTTAATATTATTGTACATTTCTATTTTTGTTATTTAACAAGTATTTTTTACTTTATATTTATTGTATAAATTCAAATTTATAAAATTTTAATTGTTATATGTATCATGTAAAAATAGTTAAATTTATTCAATCATATAATAAATATATAATAATTTACCCTTTTTATTTAATACCTATATAAATTATATACAAGTTAATTTAAACTGTATACTTACAGAGCAAAGGAAAGAGAGGAAACGACAGTTAGGTAAAGCAAAAATTGGAGGTCCATTTGAGTTAATTGATGGATCCAATAATATTGTAAAAAGTGAACAATTTTTGGGAAAATGGATGCTAATTTACTTTGGATTCAGTCATTGTCCTGATATCTGTCCAGACGAATTAGAAAAAATGGCATTAGTTATTGATAATCTTGGTATAACATAACAACTCATGTATTTATCCGTGTTATTAATATATATATTTTTTTAATTTCTAGAAAAAAAATGAAATTAATACTGGTATTCAAGGTATTTTCATCACAGTAGATCCAGATAGAGATACTCCTAAAGTAGTAGAGAAATATATTAAAGAATTTTCTCCAAAATTTATTGGTTTAAGTGGTACTTCTGATCAGATCCAGCAAGTTTGCAAAAAATATAGAGTGTATTACAGTCCTGGAAAGAAAGACGTTGATAATGATTATATTGTGAGTTTTGTGAGAATCTAAATATTGATAGATATATATTACTTATTTATAGTAATTATTATTTGCTCTACTATAATTGTTATTCTATTCATATTTTCAGGTAGACCATACAATCATTATGTACTTGGTTAATCCTGAGGGTGAATTTATTGATTACTTTGGACAAAATAAAACTGCTGATGAAATTGTAGAACACATTTTGTTACATATGTTTAAATTCAAACAAGAAAAAAGCTCAATGTTGAGTAATACTATTGATAAAATTACTACACTGAGAGGGCAGAAAATCGTGACATCTTAAATGTTTATTCGTATAAAACAAACCATAAATGTTGGTTTAGTTTAATATCAGTTTTTGTTATAAATTAATTTTAATATATTATTATGCTCTACTATTTTTTTTAATTTTTTTTTAAATTTATTTTTTAACTTTCTGTTAAATGCTCTATATTAACCTATACCTATCACAATATTATTTTTGAATGACCTGCGATTTAAAAATAATTTGTTTTTCTTCCAAGAACTCGTGGAATAAGAAGTACGAATGTTTACATCCTACTAAGCCACGCCCCAGAGGTCATTGATTATTTTCCATTTTGATTTTAACATTTTATGTGAGGAAGTAATAATAGTGTATTAATATGCTGATGTTCAGTCTTCAAACAAATACATTTTAAATTTATACCGACGAAATAAATGTTCCGTATTATTAACAGTTTCAATTCCGTTTAAATACCATTATTGGTTATTAATAATAAGTTAAATCAATACTGTATTGTTCATATTCAATAGTTAGTCCAAGTTTTGTTTTTGTGTTTAAATCTTTTGAAAGGTAAAGTAACAATTGATATTTATACAATATTATAATACATAATATGCCTTTATATTATTCTTTGCGTAGTGGCCTAAAGCGTTCGCGGTTTTAGTTATAGAAATTTCAACTCTGCTAGCCATTTTAATAATGATTCTTTAATTTTGATTATTATATACATTTTTATTGCGCACTTCCTCGCTATCAAATATTCCAAAAATATTCGCGTAATATTTGCAGCAATAAATGAATAATTTCGCAGCGCTAGATGATTGTCTATATCAGCCATATTAAGCGATGATTTACTGAAGTTAGGTTGGTAATTATTGGTGTAATTGGTGTGTACAAGTTTTAGCTATAAAATAGTCCATAAATATTCGCGTAATATTTGCAACAATACATGAAAAATTTCGCGGGGCTAGATTATCTATATCAGCTGTATTAAGCGATGATTTACTGAAGTTAGGTAGGTAATTGGTGTAAGTGGTGTGTATAAATATGAGAGTCTTAAATATATTATTAATTACAACAATTTAAACAATGTTATCAATATAACATACACGGTTTAAACACTTCCTGATGAACATTTACCAACATATCTAATTCCATAAGTAACTATACACATTATTAATTTATTTTTAAAATTATAATTTAAACTGTTCTCTTTTAATGTATAACAATAATACATTTGATTTAAATATATTTTATACACAATCTTAGTTTTTGAAATGCTGAAGTATAATTCATGCATAATTATATAATAGTCTGAAATCGCAGGGATGAAGGGGAAAATGAATGCTGAATCAGAAACACCAGACAATGTGTGTCGTGATTTCATGCGCAATGTGTGCAATAGAGGCAAATCTTGCAAATTTTTTCATCCTCCAGTCGAAGAGGATAAGCGCAAATATGTTTTTTGCCATGACTTTCAAAATGGCAAGTGCAGTCGTCACGACTGTCGATTCATTCATTGTTCTCGTGAGGATGAGGAGTATTATAATCAAACCGGACAAATGGCACCAGAGGTGTTAAGGACGTTAGAAATGAGTGGCGCACCTGCATCTGATGATATACCTATTTGTAAAGATTATTTAAAAGGCAATTGCCATCGCAGTCAAGCTCATTGTAAATTCCGTCATGTAGATCAACCACTTGATGTACCTGTTAGAGGCCCTAATGGTCCTTTCAACACACCCCAACCAGCGATGCCACCTAACTTCGGTAATGAGTTGTTCCGCAGGCGTTATGATTTTGATGAAGAGCAGCCCGATGCTAAGCGTAGGCGCTACGATTTTGACAACAGAATGTCGCTAGGGCGCCCACCATTCCCCAATCGCGACATGGACTTTTCTGTGCCACCTGGGCCTGCGCAACAACAGCCATATTGGCTGTTGCAAGAGGAGGTGGAAATGTTGCGTAAGCGTGTAGCTGAGTTGAAAAAGCGCAATGAGGAACTGCAAGCGACTAACGAATTCTTGTTGGAGCAAAACGCACAGCTGCGCATTAATGAACAAACGCCCCTGCGCAGCACCCAGCAAATGGTGAGCGCTATACGTACCGTGACCACAGTCCCAGTCAGCTTGGCGGCGGTGGCTGCGGCCGGCACACCCGTGTCCATAGCTACCGTCTCCATGGCTCCGATTCAGATACCACCTGTTGTATCTGGGTCTGGTCCGCCGCCCCTGCCGCAGCCAACTAACTCGCAGCCTTTGGTTTCTTATCCTATTGGCAGATCGACATCGGCCCAACACTATATCCAACCGTAGGTATGTTCCTACCATTAATTTTTTTTTTCGCTCGCAAATCAGTTTGATTATTTAACATGTATGCAACATTAGATTGTTGTAATTTCCCTTATTATTATTATTATTTGTTTTTATCTATTACTAGTTTATGTCTTCTAGTCTGATCAAATGAAAAATTTCAACTATTTTATGGAAAATTTAAGGGATTGTATATGCGGCATTATTTCATCTATTTCATCTTGGCAGGGGCGTGAGCAAGGCAGTCAGTAACTGCCTAGATGAAATGGACTGACTTTTCTCATAATTTTTAACATTACTTAAACAATTAGAATAAATATTTTTGTATCTATATTGTTTCAGTATGTGAATAATGAAAATGGACCCATTACTAATAGAGATTTGACATTAACAAAACAAGGAATGTACAATATGTATTTCAATAATAGAATGTAAGAAAGCAATTTTTTTACCACTTAAAAATTACAATATTTTTTTGAAACTAATAATTATGAGATGTTTAAATTTAATAAAAATATATTAATCATCCATAGTAATATAATTAATATTGTTTTATATTCATTAGGTCCTCTTTAAAATTTAATTTTTAATACAATTCAATTCTTGAAAGATTTTACGATGCATATATGATGTATTGTCTTCATTGCCATTAACTTGTACAAATAAGGCATTTATATTACTTAATTTAAGTAGTATCATTAATTTTTTAGTGTATATTTACATATATATTTGTTTGTTTATATTACAATAAAGGTCCACAATAATTAATCTTTTTGAGTTGCAATAAATTATCTTATGTAAATAAAATATTGAGTAGAAATTATAATAATGGCTGGTGTATGTTTTATATTTCACCTGAATTGATTCTTCATTGATTATATTTTGTGAGTTTTTATCGTTGTTTTCCGCTTTTTTCATACTATTATAATATTACTGAACATAATTTTTACATTTATTAATTTATTTATGTGAAATAGTGGCTGTAAATTTAGTATATCATTAACAATAAATAATTAATGATTTTGATTGAGAGGGGCCTTGACAGTTTTATATTACATTTAAGGGGCCCTACAACAAAAAAGGTTGAGAAGCACTGTTCTAATACATGGAATTGTTAATGAACATTAACAAAAACCAATTTTTAAAATGTTGGTTAGATAGATTCCACTTACCTAAATAATTATAAATTTAGTTGCTCACTTTTATTTTGTTAGACATTTTATTTCGTAAATCAAAAATTGGATTGTCATATCACATTTGTATTTTATTGTTTGACCATTTATTACTACAAAATTTTAATTAATAATTTTTTTAGTATTCTACCAATCAATATTAAAATTATAAATTCATTTTTTAATTAGCTATTGATTTCATTTGTTTTATTTATTTTTTTATTATTTTTATTTGTACAGTTATACATTATTAAAGCTTTAATATTAAATAATATAAACATATTTTGAATCTAAAATAAACATAAATGTAATTTGTTTTCTTTTATATTTTGTATCAGTCAAGTTTTTCTTGCATATTTGATCATAAAGTTTATGATTAATTGAATTAAATTTTTTTTTTAAATATGCTTATATTTAAATTTCCCAGCCATTTATTTTTTATAAGCTCTTTTGAACTTGGATATTTATTATTAATACCAAATTGTTTTGCTTTCTAGAAATGTATTACTATCACATAATTTAATCTGAGAGTTTTATAAAATCACTGTACTAAATATTACCTATAAATAAAATTGTTTTTCGATGTATAACGATTAAATTTGTTTTAAATTATTATTTATATTATAAATCAAATAAGTAAATTGATAAAACATTGCTGTTAAAGTACAATGTATTTTTATTTAAATTGCCATCAATAAGTACAGGGTGATTCACCAAACATAAAACTCTCGTTTTCTCAAATACTATTCACTTTTTTCAATTTTTTTTTTCAACATCTTAGATCTATGCTGTTCTTGCATTATATATTTGATTAATATTTTTAACCCTTATATTTATTTGGTAATCCACTATCAACTTTTGTTTTTCAAATGGGAACCCATACTAAAAAGTGTTTTTTTTCTTATGAATTATTATGTTTAAATTTTCACTTTTCATTAATTCGTTGACGAGATAAAGCTCCTTAAAGTTGTGTGGTTTTGGAAGGTATTTGTATTTAAATGTGTGTACTTAGTAACTCAGGACACAGCAATACTTATCGCTTATAAAAACCAGAAGTTATAAGTAATAAACTTGATACCGTTCGACCCCAAGATATAATGGTGATAAATGATTATCAGTTTACTTACTTCCGACAATGACTTTTATTGTTATATAAATTATAAGTTATTATTTTAATGGACTGTCACGTCTTGTCGCATGTAATGCCCACTAGATGCCCTCATCATATTCACTGATAAATATTTGAGTTATCCTTGAAATTTTGCTGTATGTTCGGAACATGATTTAAGATAACACTGGTAAGACGACAATTTTTTTGGTGACTGGTAAACTCATAGACATATAATATACTTGTATTATAAGTCTATGGGTAAACTGAATTGACATATCAGTAGTTGCTGTAGAACTAATGAATGTGCTCCAGTGTTTTTTTGTAAACTAGATATTATCATTTTCTCCGGGCTTTTAATATAAGATTTAAAGCGGGATGGCTGATGCCCATTTAAAGCATGATTTAAAAATTTAAGATATATATATTTTAAATCATGATATAAAAATGTTTCTTATTCCATGATATTATAAAGCATGAATTGTTTGTATTGAAACACCTAGTTATTCATATAACACGATTTTTACAACTGTATTTATCCATTTATATATTTACAAATATAATACATTTTAAATATTATATATTAAAATTAAATGTTGTATTCCATTTTGCAATGAATCAAATTCTAGTACTTTTAAAGTACTTAAAAATGCATTTAATTAATGGCAAAATTTCCTAAACATAAAATTGAAATCAAATTCAAGAATTTGTGAGAAACATTTTAAAAAAGATAATGTTATAAAGACATGGGTTTCAGGTAGCAAACAAGAGAACCAGTATACAGTATATACATTTTATTATTATTATTATTATTATTATTACTATATTCAATAGGTAGACACTAAAGTATTCTAAAATACCTTTGTTTTTGAAATGTTAACTAAGCTATATATAGCTATAATTTTAATTGTTTTAAGATATATTATAAAAGACCAAATCATTGGGAAGGAGCTATTCCTATTCCTACAATTAATGTTACAATAGAGCAAAATGTATTGACCGAGTTATCAACTTCAGAAATGGTACTGTATTAATTGTTATTTACTAAGAAAAATATAATATGTAAATATAAATGAAACTTGTTAATTAAATAGCTAGGTGGTAATGAAGGGGAATCGATAGATCACGGGCGGGTTTAAGGGGGCATTAGCCCTCACTTTGGACTAAGCTATCTATTTTACAAAGCAAAGTATTATTATATATTAATAATAATAATAAAATATCGTCAATGGTCATTGATGAATATGGTACCTATTTTATATATTTTTTTTTTATAAATAAATAGCTCAATTTTATTATTAATTATATGTATTTACCTATATTTTAAAATAGTTTCAGATTAAAATTGATACCAATAACCAATAATGTAATTATTTAAATTTTGTCATTATTGTGAAAAAAATGACTTACTTATGAGGGACTCAAAAACATATTCTGTAATTTAAAATTTTATCTATATATATAAAAATTTCGTGTCACGATGTATGTTCGCGATAATCTCCGAAACTACTGGACCGATTTTGATGAAATTTTTTACACCGTGTGTAATTTGGTCCAACTTAAAATATAGGATAGTTTTTTTTCAATTTTTTTAATATTTTAAATATTTTAATTAACTTTTTAATAAATGTGTATAATTGCATGGTGTATTTCGGTGTATTTCTATCACCGGAAACATCGATGAAAATTTAAACGCCAATGACATCGGAACTGCATGTATTTTACCTTCAAGCTATATCGGCAGTCCACGGAGCATGCAGGAATACATACAAGATGCGATGACTTATGTACGTCATTACGGTCGACCTGATTTGTTTGTTACATTTACGTGTAATCCAAATTGGGAAGAAATAAAAAGTTTGTTATTACCAGGCCAACAATCAATACATCGTCACGATATCGTTACACGTGTGTTTAAACAAAAGTTAAAATCTTTAATTAATTTAATCGTAAAATATTCAGTTTTTGGTAACACACGTTGCTGGCTGTATTCTAATGAGTGGCAAAATAACCTCACGTGTAGGAAAACCATCAAATCTCTTCGTGTTAGCGAAAGACAGGTTAACCAGGAATGTTGTACACAAAGTAGTACTTAGATAATTTTTAGTTTTAATAATTTAATTTATTTTTGTATGTTTTTAATGTATGTAGTATTTTTTGTAAGTAGGTCACTGATTACAAACAATAATTTAATATAAGATGAATAAAATGTAAATTCAGAAAATATATATTTTGGTTTGTACTTAATTTCAACTTTTAGATACTTTACCTATTACTTTTAAATTTTCTCATACATAATAACACTAATACATGGCCTACGAAAATGCTAAAAAACCAACTAATACGCGGGCAACGCCGTGTCGGGACAGCTAGTATAAATTAAAAAAAACCAACTAACTAAATTCTTAAACCTTCATTAGCCTCTCCCTTGGTTAGTGATAACCCCCCCCCCCCAATAGATTATATAGAAAGCAGTGATCAATCAGTTTTTGTCAATTCTAATTGTAGTAACTCAATCTTATTGGTGTCTAATACTTGTACCATTCCAAGAAAAAGAAATGTATATTTAACATATTATTATTAAACATATTACAACCAAAACTATTAATAATTATTCTTATTTTGTTTCTGCGTTTTAAAAAGGCTCTTGAATACATCCAGAATGATCACAGTTATTTTACTAGTAGTAACTCATCTAATTACAGTGAACCTACAAATGTATTTGAAGATTTATTAAGATCAATAAACATCATTAGTTTGCCACCAAAATGGTTTATGGATATTGATCGTGAACCTAAGGATCTACAAAAATCATTTGTAGAGTGTTACCAGTTAGGTGTCTGTAGAGATAATTTTTCAAGAGTTGTTAAAAAACAAATTATATTAATTGATGGTGTGTTTTTATTGATATAGATTAATTAATTAAATATTGATAATTAAAAATATTATTAATAGATTGTAGTTTAATCATACATGTGTATGGTAAGTTAATAAATATCGAACAAATAGGTTTATTATCTAATTTCAAATCTGAAAATTTTGAAGATTTAAAAAATGTTACAATGTTATTTGACAAATTAAAAATTTACAATGGGTAAGTATTAACTAAAAAGTATGCTGAAATTAATTCAAAATTAGGACCCCAGTTTGTTGAAT